GGAGGCGTTCGAGCCTGAGAGATTCATGCAGAGCTCTGCAGACACGAATGGGCAAGACTTCAAGTTCATACCATTTGGGGAAGGTCGAAGGATTTGTCCTGCTAAGAACGTTGGCATGGCAACGATGGAGCTTGCGCTGGCCAACCTCTTGTATTCTTTTGATTGGGATTTACCAGATGGGATGAAGAAGGAAGACATCAGCATGGATGAAGCGCCAGGCATTACTGTGCACAGGAAATTTCCTCTGGTTCTTGTGGCCACCAAGTATGGTGGAATAGAGGTGAACGATAAATCTGAATGATGATTCTTCTCCGAAACCAAATTATTGACTCGATTCAGTTTCAATTTGGATTGAATGTTGATCATAGCAAGTGCTCATCTCAAGAATTTAGCTTACAAATGGTCCGTATCGAAGTCACATAAAGTAAACGTCCAAAACTGTCGAATTAATGCAAGGGACTTGGTTTTGCATAAGGCTCAAGTTAGTAATCCTACCCGCACCATAGGAAAGCTTGCACTCGACCGGAAAGGATTATACTGTATCCTAATGCAGTGGAGGGGGCAAGCAAAGTCCTGCGTCACTGTAAGTGTGCTAATGCAGAAGAGGTAACATGACTTGTAAGGTTAGTCATATGGGTGATAGAATTCTATTGCGATATCATGTAATCCGATATATCATATTTTTATCCTTATAATTTTCACTTACTTTCTTCATACGATATTTTATTGTTGATGATATTATGTTGGATCTACAAAATTCCGGACAGGGGAGATGTGGTCGTGAGCGTCTCAACTAGTTTTGAGAGCCGCCTTCTTGGCGGTAAGATTTTTTTAGCCTTGTCATGATCACCACTGTGAGATCTTTTGGCTAAGCATGAATGTTCGACAAACAAGTCCGTCGAACATCCAATGTGATGTGATGTGCATCCATTCAGCTACTGCTACGTTCAGGGCAGAGGACAACTCACATGTGACGTTCTTGTCCTGCTAACAACGTTGGGAAGAAGGAAGACATCGGCATGGATGAAGAACCTGATATTATTGTGCACAGTAAATCTCCGCCGCTTCTTGTGGCCACCAAATATGGTGGAATAGAGGTGAAAGATGAAATGTCAACGTTTGATTCTTCTCCTCATTGATGTTGATTCTTCTCAATCGTGGTGTATTTACTCAACTGTGACAGTTGGATGGTCAGCTCCTCCAGAGCTCTGTACGAGCTACCCCCCTCCGCCACCGCCGCCACCGCCCTTCCCCGTAGCTCCGCTACCCGATCCCTCACCTCCTGCCACTCTCCCCCCTCCGCCACCGACTCAGCCAGCGTCCTCGCCAGCTCCTCAGCGGCTGGCGTGCCCTCTGCGCCGCTCCCCTCCCCCACCCTGACAGCTACCCCTATGTCCTCCACCAGCAGCTTCGCGTTCACGAACTGCTCCGCCTCCATCGGCCAGACCAGCAGCGCCACCCCCGCCGTCACCCCCTCCAGCACCGAGTTCCACCCGCAGTGAGTCACGAACGAAGCCACCGCAGCGTGGCCCAGGATCGCCACCTGCGGCGTCCATCCCCGCACCACCATCCCTCTCGCCCCCTCGAACCCCTCCGGCGCCGCCGCAGCCCCGCCGAGCGCCCACAGGAAGCGGACCCCGCTCTTCTCCAGCGCCGCCGCGATCCCGCCGATCTGGGTCTCCGTCGGTGTGTACTGGCTTCCGAAGCAGATGTACACCACCGACCGCGGCGGGCACGCGTCTAGCCACGCCATGACCTCCTCCGCCGGGACGGAGCTGCGCCCGCCGCGCCCCCCCACGGCTCCTGCCGGGCGGATCGGCCCCACAGCCCAGACGCGGTCGTGGCCGTAGGACCGCCTCAGGTGGGCGAGGTAGTCGCCCTCGAGGGCGTCGAAGGTGTTGATGACGGCGCCCCAGCTGGCGGCGTTGGCCAGGAAGGAGTCCCTGGCGAACTCCCAGTCCGGGTCGCCGGCCTTGTAGCGGCGGTAGACGGAAGGGAGGTGGGAGAAAGGGAAGGAAGGGGCGGACGTGAGAGAGGCGAGGGTGACGGAAGAGGAGGAAGCGGCAGCGCCGGAAGGGGGGGCGGGGGGCATCTGTCGCCAGACGTGGTCGAGGACGGAAACGCCGAAGGCGCCGGAGGAGTAAAAGACGACGCGGGGGATGCCGAGGTCGGCGGCGAGGTGGTGGGTCCAGCCTATGAAGAAGTCGGAGAGGAGGGCGAAGGGAGGGCAGGTGAGGGAGCGGGCCCAGGAGACGACGGCGGGGCCGAGGGAGGAGAGGGCGTGGATGAGGGCGGCGATGGAGTTGCCGTGGGAAAGGTGGCGGACGTGCTCGACGCCGGGGGCGAGGGTGGAGAAGGAGAAGGGGAGGACGAGGGGGAAGGCGGAGGGGGTAGCGGCGAGGAAGTGGTCGAGGAGGGGGAGGTTGGCGGGGGTGACGACGACGGTGAAGGAGAGGCCGGGAAGGCGGAGGGATAGATGGTGGACGAGGTCGAGGAGGGGGATGAGGTGGCCCTGAGCGGGGAAGGGGAAGACCAGGAGGTGGAGGACGTCGCCGGTCGTCGACATCAGTCTTGACCGACCCGGGCTCGGTGGTGCGAACGGAGGAAGGCAAGACCTTTAACTTGCTGGGGCGGAAGCCGTCGCCATCGCACGTCGTGCATTCATCACATGATGTGACCTCCATTTAAAATAAATAATTTTATTTCTATATTAAAAAACATATCACGTGATTTAAAAAATAAATAATTGTATTTCAACATGTGACATGTTATAATTATTTTTTTTTTCTCGTCACTTTTAACTCATACGTCATATCACGTATTATGTTTTTCATCAATATTAAGACAAATAAAATTATTTTTTTTATTTTTAAAATCATAATATAATTTTTTAAATATAAAAATATGTTAACAGAGTCTAAAAATAGAAAATAATCTATAATTAATCCGAAGATGATAACGTCGGTACTAAGACGTCATGGTGATCATCATGTTGTTCATATTTACTTTTATGAATAATATGAGGACCAACTATAATGAACTTAAAGAGTATTAATGAAGTTGAGTATAGCACAAATTGTTGACCAATCAAGTTATCAATTGACTAGTCAAACTGTTCTTCATTTCTCTGAATAATCTTACTTATATATACAATACTTTTTATTTATTCAATAAAAAGTATCTAACAATAAATGAAAAGGATCCAACAAAATAAAAAAAATGTTGGATTTACATGTTAAAATAAAGATGTTGACTTGCAAACATAAATAAAGCCAAGATGGATGGTTGATCAACTCAAAAATGGGAGCATTAATTTGTAAATAGCCCCAAGAACTCTCCATGTCTCAAAAAAAGCCCACCTTATAAAGCAAGTTTAATTCTAACTAAACATTTAACGCAAACACAAGAAAAAGGTTCCCTATTTAACTATGACCAATCCATGAAGCTCTCACTTTGCCTTCTAGCTATTGACTAAGAAAAAAGAAACATAAATGCAAAGAAATAATGGTCATGGATGACAATCATGGCTAACCTAATTTTCCTTGATCCAGATTGAACAAAGAGAGCATGGTCGATCAGATGTAAAGCTTAAGTTCACAGCTCAATGAATTACTTTGTGCCGTTACAAGTAACATAAAAGCTAAAATGTCATAATCAATGAACAATACGAGCTAGTCTTGACAAAACAAGATCATCATTATCTTGGCAGGAAGGAGAGAAATGTCTGTATCTGAGATCTTGTACATAGAGACAGAAATTTGATGAACTCACAAATAAAGGAATCAGAGATGACGTACAGGGAATGTGGCCTTCTCGACTCTGAGGCAGCATTACATTCTGAGCAAGTAGGCACTATCGGCAAGAACTGTGCAAGTTCAGCATTATAGTATGCATGAAGACAGCTGCATCACCTTTGGTTGTTTAACTTGACAGCTTAGATTTTGTCAATATCACTATCTAAGCCCTGCATAACACAAAAATTTCAACTGAGCAGACAAATACACATCTTATTCTTCCTAACATAAAACCATACTAATTCTCGCAAATACATGTTTTGTATCTTAGTTCCTTTTTTATTGTTCTTTTTGAAAATTTATAGTGTCACTAATTAGTTTAATCCTTTTTTAGAATAGCTTTGAATATCTCCCTTAATCTTACAATTTGATATAAAAAAAACTCTTGTTCCATTTATCTACATCTTTTCTATCATCAAAATTATGTTAAATACAACCGATCTATCCCCTAAACCCTTTCAAACTACAAGTATACAATTAGCTTTTTTCAGTCGTAATTTAATCTTCTTTGATACTTCTTTTATCATATTTGTTCTAATCTCATGAATAAATCCATGATTTATAAACTTCCCACCGTCGTTTTAATTTAACACATAATCGTCATTAAAATGTTTGTAAAAAAATAACGCAACAACAAAGGGCAAAAGATAGTTATTGGTCATATAAAGGTGTGATAAAATGGAAGACCATATTGGTCATGCTAGCAAGTAAATAGCCACAAAAGACCATGTGAAAATAAAACCAACTATTTGTGAAAAATTTGCATGAGCAATGCAAATTCAACAAAATGAGATTAAATAGAATATGATGGGACAGTAATTCAATGTAATACATAAATACTATCATTAATTAGAAGCTGAATGAATATTCAGATCACATGATTTATATCATCATAGCATTAATCTCATCTATGAAAAAAACATAACAATGTCTTTTCCTTTAGTTTCTTGTTGGATCGCAAAGAGCAAGAGTTACTCAAAGCAACCAGACAGTCATATGTTACAGTAAAATGGACACTAAAAACTACTGAATTTCATGTGTTGGAAATTTGTGAGGTATCTTACCGAGGTGCTCCCAATCTTATTAAGATCATCATCCAAACCATCATTCCCATCATCTGTAACAGCATAAGATTATTATGAGGCAGGAAGTTGTAACTAGTAACTACTTTATTCTAGAAGCAACAAAGACGAATTGTAGAGTTACTCAAAATATGAAAAGACGGCGAGTCCATTGAGGTTGCAGAAACATTTATTATATATTTTTAACCATAAATTATGATTAAAAAAATGTATAAATGGAATATTGCATACCCAAACCCTCATCATCACTTCCAAGATCTCCCAGAAGGAACACATCCAAGTCCTCTACGGTTGATGAGGTAGTAGTCTTTTGCAGTTTTGTTTCTTTTGATTTTGCTGCTGTAGCTGAGACAGCAGTTGGATTTTCCTTGATTCTATCAACTTGACTTTGCTCTGCTTTCGTCTTCAACTCTTCCATATACTGTTTCTCGTAGCTGATTTATTGTAAAGACAGCTAAAGTCAGTATTGGCTGCCTGCTTCCTTTGCCCCAGTGAGAGCTCAGGTTAGTGTCAAACAAGCATACATCTCACAGAAAAAACATTAAAGTATATATAAAATTCTTGTAAATAAAACATGCATATTCCAGTCCCAAGACTCAGCTTGAACAGTTGATTCAGTGCTAAGTATAACAGTAAACTGGAGGGAATGAAGGCTAATCATAACATGATTTTCTGCATTTAAAGGAGAGAGACAACCATCTAGTGAAAGCAATCTGAAATCTGAAAAGGAAAAGAAAGAGCATGACACACCACTTAATCAAACTACCATCCAAGACTTGTCAGTAAGCATAACACAAAGAATTCTGACCATAAAAGATTTTCTTTCAAAAGTAAGTTGATCCAAAAGTCAATCCTTGATTAGGAAACAAACATATTTCCAATATAATTATGTATAATCTGGATCTGTTAACATCCTTAATGGACAAGTAATTTCAGCCTTTTGTTTGATACCGAGCCTAATTGGGATATGCAGGATTTTAAATGTTATCAAATATTTTTTATGGAATTTTCTACTAGTCCAAAAATGCTACAAAACTGACTGTCAGTTTATATCCTTTATCAACATAAGAATTCTAAAATTTGGATGGTATCAACAGGCTACAGAAGAAAAGATACTTACGGAGCCACATAACTGTTTATGAGAGTAAAATATATCCGCCAGAATTTCCTCTCCTTCATATAGCGTGGGCATAGCTCATATCTGAATGTTGATATTTCCTGAAACATTAGATGTAAATTATCCAGTCATAATCTTATGTTTAACAAAAAAAAAAGAAGAAGAAGAAGGATGGCATTGCTGACATTTCATCGACAAGATTAGCATACAAAAAGGGTAAGTTAACTATGATCAAGTAACATAAGTTAACGTCGTCTTCACATTGCAGTACTGAAAGATTATGAATTAATTAACAGAATTGGTTCTTTCAGAACTTCACAAGATGTAAAATGAGAGATTCAATACAAGCCAAACTATTGAAAAAATTAAATTGACACAAGAAATAAGTTTAACAGAATGAAACACCTTCACTGTCGACAGAACAAGTGTAGCATGCCTTGCTTGCCATTCATTAAGATCCTGCCTCACATTTGACACTGTGGGAACGTCTGACATCTCTGGTTCATCTACAAAGATAACACAAATGTAGTAAGATTAACCTTGAAAATTAGAATTAAAAGATATTACATATCTTCTGAGGAACAAATTAGCAATAAGACCCTACATAGGCTATTACAGAAAAATAAGCAACAAGGTAATCCAGAAAACTCATTACACAGAAACACAAACACATCAATAGAACAACTTCAGATGCCACATAAATTCCTGAAACATTTTGTTATAACAGCGTAACAACAAATAATTGAGCTATCAATTGCATTCGGAACCCATAATATTATCAAATCGATCATGTCAAGTCCGTCTCTTTCAATTAAAGCTTCAATCAAGAAGATAGACAAGCGTGAAATGCCAACACAGATGATAAAATTGAGTGAAACAAGGAGGGAAGAAAGGATCTAGCGCGCACCTTGCATGGGGAAATCCCTGAAAGTACTGAGCTGGATCCCCTTCACGAACTCTCTCAGCTCCTCGGTGACCCCAAACCTCTCGAGATCCGACCCGGGGTCGGGAGCAACAGCCGCATTGGATCCCTGCCCCAAGGTGGAAGGGATCGGGATGGGGATGTCGACGGCGAGGGTCTTGATCTGGTCAGCGGCGCGGAGGGCCTCGGAGCGGATCAAGTCGGCCTTCTTGGAGGCCTCGGCGGCGATCTCCTTCGACTTCTTGGTCGTCTCCGAGACGAACTCCTGAGAGATCCTGGCAGCGTCCCTGGTGAGATCCTGCGACCGCTTCGCCGCCTCCTCGGCTAAGCCCTTCGCCCTCTGCCACAGATCCATGCCCGATCCGGCGATCCCCACCACTCCCCGAGACCCGGAAGAAGACGCGACCAACGTTACATCTCTCTCAAGGTAACTTATTTACGCATTTATTCGTATTCCAGAACTATAAACTTACATATACGCCCTTATAGTTTATCTAAATCAGTAAATACCCTCTCTATAAGATATATGTTATCCAATATGCTATTTCTATATTTACAAGGATATATTTGTAAATTAATGAGGACGAATACATTATCTTCAAAATTCACAGGAGGACGGGATCTAATACAAGACCGTATTGTAAGAGAAATTTAGTATGACACTTGGAGGGTGGATCCGATGTTTATGATGCATATATATGTATATGTGTATGTATATATATATATATATGTATATATATATATGTATGTATATATATATATATATGTATGTATATATATATATGTATATATATATATATATGTATGTATATATATATATGTATGTATATATATATATATGTATGTATATATATATATGTATGTATATATATATGTATATTTGTATATATATATATAAAATCTAGTAAGGTTGATCTATTGGGATGTGCCACACAATGGAGTAATGGCAACTCATACTAACAGTCATAACATGAAGGAAATGAAAAACACTAATAAAGTAGTCCAAATTAGCATTAAACTATCAGATATAACACTAATAAATTCTAAACAACTGATAGCTTACCAATAATTTAATTCTATTAGATGCAAAATTGATAAGGATGTCAAACAATTCAAGATATGGAAAACAGAATCTGTAATCAAAATTTGAGTTCCTGCCCATTTTTTTTTTTCTGAGCAAAACATTGTCTATGATCACACTGAAGCCAAAACTGGAGGAATTTACATGGCAATGATCTCTGTCTAACTGCTGAGCAGCTTTATCTTTATGAGTTCTTGTGACTCTAAAGATCATAGACATCTAGGAATCCTTCATTCATGCTCAAACTATAGGCTAAGATCTTGATATAATATTTAGAGAACACAACTGAGTCTGTAGAAAATAGCAGCTGTATCTATCAACTTCAAAAGATCTATGACAGATCTTGATATAATATTTAGAGAGAAATGTGTTATCTTTTTCAGAATGAAAACATTTAAAGAGGATTGTTAAAGCAATTCCATCTCATTCAAGGAGACCAGAAAGAAAGAGTTCATTTCTGAGCTTTGAGCAGCTCACAAGTACTCAGTTGAGAAAGAAAACTAAACAGGAAAAGAAAGTAAAGTCATCTCCTTCTCATATTACTTCAGTTTCCACTAAGATCTTTTCCTAAGCCTTCTCACAACTGAAAGAAACAGAACTCTTCCAAACCTAATATCTATTGATCTACCAAGATCTGCAATGCCTCCAACATCCTAAAAAATCATCAGAAGTAACAAAGCTCATAGAGATCATAAAAAGAAGAATTAGAACAGGAAGATCTTTTAAGTAAATACCTCAAAGTCCTGCCTCCTTTTTCTCCTCCTCACCAAAAGATCAAAACTTCTGAAGATATCAGCTACTTGAGACAAATCTGCTGCCTACTTCAGAAGCCACTGATTTAAGTTAATCTAATCCTATAAATCACATCAAATGAATCACTGATCCAACATGCATAAACCCAAGTTGATAATAGTAGATCTATATAATCTTATAAACCAAGACAAATATACTCTCTCCTTGTTTTAATCAGCTACTTTTCTGCATGCCTCACTTCATGTACCATGGTAGCAATACAATTAATTCTTATTCCTCCAGCAATATCATCTCTGCACATAATTTAAAATGAGAAACAAAAGAAAATACAAGCTGATGAAGGCTGCATAACATTTACAGGGGAAGAAGAAAAATGATGGCATGCCATGTTGCAGATACCCAAGAACTGTATCTTTGTTTGTGCTTCTTTCCATGATATTTCTTCAAGCCCTTGCCTTAGCCTTGCATAGATTTCAGACTGTCTTAACCCTGGTTATAATAATTCTTCTTCCTCAAACAAAATCATATCTACACATCAATAAAAAAAGTGGCACAGAAGGAAAACACAAGAGAGGCAATTGTTGGGGATGGATGATACAATGAGCAAGCAAATAATCTTTCTCCAAGATATGCATAGGAAGAGGAAAACTTGTGCAGATCATTACTTGCATTTTGCCCCGGAATTAGTTGACCCATATGAAGAACCTCAACTACAAGCTTGGCTAAACTGTTCTTGAATCATATCACTGTGCCTTTATGTGCTATTATGCCCTGCTCTCATTTCTGTGGATCAGCAGCTGTGCTGCTCAAACAGTGATATACTTGATGTCTTATCTATACACTTCTTCCTTCTCTTGATACTAATGCTTTGTAATCAAGATCTTTCTGGTCTGATGAAATGATCAAGCTAAGATAGACTACTGGAATCTCTTTCTGCCTCTCTTAGCTTTGATAATTTCATCTATGAAATACTTGGGAAACAATATTTTAGAAGAAAGAATCAACCAATGCTCAATTAGGCAAGCTATTACCCACATACTGCATTTCATGAACATCCCTAATTTTCAGGGAATGGAGGCAAAAAAAAAAAAAACTGGAAAATATCTATTTTTCTGGTTGATGTCTACATCCATGTGATGTGGTCAATCAAATAATTCTTGGTGTATCAATTTATGAAATATTTTAATATGAAGGATATCATTGTATATTTTTTAGAACAACTTGTGATTCAAGTTTCTATACCATTTTATAATGTGCTGTTGGCCACCTTCTTCACACAATTTTAGGTGGAAGAGATTATTTGATGATAAATAAAGTATAATATGAAACTGTGCAAAAGAATATATATATATATATACACACACATATATGCTAATATATTAATAGCATTCTGTGCTTGATGAATACCTCATGTAGTTGAACTGGTCAACATCTTTGAGCCTGAATGAATCATCAAAGAACAGTCCTCTTATACCCCATAGCTGTTTCTGATCAAGATGAGGCCTCAAATTGGAAATGGTCCAAAATAGTTGCTTAATCATGACTTAGCTTTTAAGACTCATTCTGCAAAGTCAAATCAAGTTTTGACTAAGTTGTGCTATGTCTCTTCCACTTAATTTTTTTTTTGGGGGCATTCATCATTCTGCACAATCAGATACGTTGAACTCTAGCAATTCAAGTCTCTTTTTATTTGATTAAACATAAATCTAAAATATGCAAACAAATTTGGAGCCATTAATATTATTTTTTCAACTCCTACCCTACCATCATCTTCACCAAGTTCTCGTATAATTTATAATAAGATATTATTGGTCAACAATTGAGACACTCGATTTGATTTTGATTTCGAATCTTGATGCACATCGATCTACAACAAAGATAGTAGATTCGTATAATTTGTAATAAGATATTATTAGTCAACAATTATGGAGACACTCGATTTGATCTTGATGTACATCGATCTACAACAAAGATAGTAAATTCATGTAATTTGTAATAAGATATTATTAGTCAACAACTATAGAGATACTCGGTTTGATCTTGATTTCGAGACGAAATCCTCTAATTATAGTAAAATATTTTTTGAATTATATTCGATTTAGAGAATATTTTTTATTGACTTGACAAAGTCAATTAATCTATTATTTTAAAAAAAATCTATCCCAAAAAAGATATAAAAAATTATTAGTGTTGAGATTTTGTTGTTTGCCAATAAAATTTTATTTACATAATAAAGAAAAATTGAGGATAGCATCAGATAAGCAGAATAAAATTAGAATACTATTCCTTTTTGTGTTGAAGCTTATTTTTGCATTTGTCATAGAGAAATATGATGAGGTATTATCCCATTTGGTGTTCTTCTGAGGTTGTCCATAGCGGCGCCGTTTAGCAACCAAAATGGAAGACGTCGAGTTCACGAAGGGTTTCCATCTCGAAGACCTCATCAGATTACTCCACATGTTCAAACAACGAGTGGCGGAGGGACCGCCGCTGACGCGCCCGAACAGTTGGAGACGAAAGCCTTCGAATCTGATGCATGTTTGTCGTTGCCGCCGTTGACAACTTCTTGCTTTCGTTTTCGCAGATTAATTCGTTTCTCTTAGTTCCAATCATGCGGTCCGTCTCCTTTACGGAAGGTGATGTGAGTTATCTTTAATTTTTTGTGGTGTTTTTATGCCAACACTAATTTGGAGTTTGACCAGTTGGTGGCAGTCCGATTGGGAAGCTTCCTTGATCTGTCCTGCTGTGTTCGAGTAGGTAATTATTTAGTCGATCGGTTGTTTATGGGATTAGACGGGAGAAAAAAGGAGCAATTTTTGGTCATGATGATCGCGGAGGATTATTTTTATGGAATCTGGGAGTCAACACGGCGACGCGTCCCAATTGGATTAGATGAGGTAAAAAAGGGTTTATATACATGGAAAGGAAAAATATTAGTTTTTGATCAACAGGGATTAACTTAATGGGATTCGGAAGTCAACAGGGAGAACGCGGAGAGACGGGAGGGAGCAAAAGAAGAGGAGGAGACTTCTTCCCTTCCCCTCTCTCTCTCTCTCTTGTCTTCTTTAATGCATCCCAATTGAGAAGCTAGGGTTCCCTGTGGCCGGACAAAATTCGGGTGAAAGGCTAGGTTTTGATTCCCATATCGATCACATCTCCCACCTCCTTTAGGAGACACAAACACTGTTCTTGTTCTTCCGCTGCTATTCTCGTCTGATTTGGTTTGGTTTATGATCCCCACCGGAGAAGTTCCTCTGGATTTCCATCTCGCTCGATGCTGCTCTTTGTTATAGATTTTGATATCACTTTGGATTAATCCTTTAGGAGGCCTTTGTTGTGTTTTCTCGGATCGGATGGGGCAGTTAGAACAAAGGTCGTCATAACGTTTGCTTTCTATACTTTGATCTACCTTTCCATTTCATGATCCTCTTTGCTTTTCGTTGACTTCGTTACTTCATTCATTCCCAAGATTCCATCAAACTATAAACTGTTCGTGAAAATCGCATCTTCGTAGTCCCACATCCAGTTCTTCTATAGCATCTTTTCAGAACAAATCAAGATTTCCCAGAGTTGGTGTATATTGCATTCGATACTGTACATTGTGATACTTTCAACTCTTTCTCAGTGTGTCCGGTAGTACCTTAGTTTGGTGTAGCTGAATAGTTGTTTGAAATGAGGCTCTTGGTGCATGTGATTGAAGCCCGGAACCTCCTTGCAATGGATCTCAATGGCCTGAGTGATCCGTATGTAAAGTTACAACTAGGAAAGCACCGAGCTAAAACAAAGGTGGTCAAGAAGAATCTGAACCCTGTGTGGGATGAAGAGTTTAGCTTTCGAGTTGGAGACCTCAATGAGGAGCTCACAGTATGTGTTTTGGATGAAGACAAGTACTTCACTGATGATTTTCTGGGACAGGTGAAGGTTCCGCTATCAATAGTCTTGGATGCAGAGAACTTGACCCTTGGAGCAACCTGGTATCAGCTGCAGCCCAAGGGCAAGAAGTTGAAGAGCAAAGATTGTGGTAATATACCACCTTTTCATTTTCATTCATGCATTTTGGAAATTGAGAATCTGTTACAATTGCTCGGCATGTTATTGATTTGAGATGTAACTTATGTTTATAATATAAGGCCGAACCACATACCTATTGGTTGATCTCAAGGATGACCTTATCTAAAATTCTTCTCATCTCAAACAGATATCCAAGCTCATTGGCTTTTGACCTTTGTGAATTAGGTTTCTGCATGTGTTTTGAACTTTTAATTAGAAATATTCTTTCTGCTCATGCAGAAATTTTCCCTTGGTTTAGGTTGTCATCTTGATTCACGATTCTTTTGAGTGACCCAGTTGTAAGTCACACAGTTGTAAGTTACCAACCTTGGTTTATTCCATCTTCTCAATTCAATTTGATGACCATGACAACCTACCGATATCTGGAGCTACCTAACTGGATTGAAAAATTTGTAAACCAATTTTGAGGATTTTAGAGCAGAGGCATCTGGATGAAAGGGAATTTTTTGGATGACAGGGATTTTATCCTTCAACTTGAATGTTAATGCTGGATGCTCAAGTCAGTTAAGTGATCAGTGTCAATCGGGTTGTTTTTCCTGGTTAATTGTACAATCGTTGCAAGCTTATATTATTTGCACGCAAGTGGACTGAGATATGGTTTGATACATATTTAAGATCATCCAAATATGTATGAGGATGTAGAATTAAAAGCTGTGCTATATCAATAAATACTCCATTGCATTTTCTCCAGTAAACAAATCCTCTTACCATATTGTGGCATTAATGCTTACTTTGGGATGGCCTTCATTTCTTTTTTTCTTTGCTGAATGGAAGTATGATCGAAAACTAATTTTATTATAAAATTATATCTTTTTTGTACTCATATACCAGTTCAGATCCAAGTATGTCTTTGTGGCTTCATCCTGCAGGAGAAATTCGTCTAACCATATCTATGAACCAGAAGAATACTGAAGAAGCATCTGCTGGCACACGAATCATTTCTGATGATCTTGCATCAAATTCGGATAGATCAGGCGAGTTAACAAAGGGAAGGCATTCATTATCTTTAAATGATGATACAGAATCAGCTGCTGCACCAGTGCTTAATGAAATGGATTCTCTTAAGGAAGAGAAACCAAATGCAGGAACTTTTGTGGATCGTCTGTTTCAGTTATTTGGTGGGAAAAATGTAGAGCCTACATGTTCTTCCACTAGGGATGTTGATTATTCAGAAAAAATGCAAGATGTACCAGCAGATGAAGATTGTGAAGAGCAAATGGTTGAAGCATGTGCCGATCTCCCATTTGATGAATTATTGAAAACTATGGAATCAAAGGTTCAAAGTGAAATGCCTGCAAATTTGCCAGGAGGTGTACTTCTTGACCAATCTTATTCTGTTGCTCCAGGTGATCTAAACTCCTTTCTCTTTTCGCCGAGTTCAAATTTTTGGCAATCACTGGCTGAGGTTCAAGGAACCACTGGTTTTCAAGCTGAACCTTGGAGACTTGAAAATGGTGGGGAGAGCTTGAAAAGAGTTGTTACATACACAAAAGCTGCAACTAAATTAGTAAAGGCTGTGACAGCTACAGAGGAGCAGACTTATTTAAAGGCTGATGGGAAAAATTTTGCTGTTTTAGCAAGTGTGAGCACACCTGATGTTCCTTTCGGCAGCAGTTTCAGGACAGAGCTTCTCTTCTGCATAATGCCAGGGCCTGAATTGTCTTCTGAAGAACAATCGTCTCGTCTGGTAATATCCTGGCGCACGAATTTCCTACAGAGCACTATGATGAAGGGAATAATTGAAAATGGAGCAAGGCAAGGTTTGAAGGACAGCTATATACAGTTTGCTGAGTTGCTCTCCCAGAGTATAAAACCGGTTGATTTAAAAGAAACTGCATCTAGCAAGGAGCAGATCCTAGCTTCTATGCAAGCTGAGCAGGAGTCAGACTGGAAATTGGCATGTCGATTCTTTGGAAATTTCACTGTCATATCTTCTGTCTTTGCGGTCTTATATGTTCTTGCCCACCTCTTGCTTGCAAATCCTAGCACAATTCAAGGGCTTGAGTTCCCTGGCTTAGATCTCCCAGATTCAATTGGTGAGATTGTCGTTTGTGGGGTTCTTGTTCTACAAGGAGAACGTGTTCTAAATAGGGTCGGACGTTTCCTACAGGCAAGGAAGCAAAGAGGTAATAATACTTTTATTTACTTTTGATTGTTTTTTTGTAGAACTATCCTGTTTCAATACTTGATTCTTGGTAATAATGGTCATGGTTTCCCACATTATTTTGGTTCTGAAAGCAACCTCAACTTCCATAAATTCATTTAATATATGAATGCTTATTATCCAAAAGTTATTGCAGTGAAATATAAGATTCTCTCTTCATTTTATACAGTAATCCCTTTATATTTAGCTCAGAAATAACAAAATCAACATTTCAGGGTAGCACAGTGTTGTAATTCTAATATATATTTTGGATTATATATATATATATATATATATATATATATATATATATATATGCCACAGCAACTTTCCAGATCATGTTCTCTAACTTATTATCGATCAGAGATGTACATTATACAAAGATTTGCAACATTATTCTGTTTTTGTACAAAAGTGTGTAATTGTATCACTGTGCCACAATAATGTAAGCTTTAATGGATTAACTGTTTAGGAGCTCTGACACCATCTGATACCCTTTGGACATGCACAAACCTGGTATTGTTGATGCATGAACAGTGTCTATTTAATTGTTCATCATGATAATTGTGTGGATTAAAGCCCTCACTTGCACTGTCACCTTTATGAACTTAATCTTCTTATAATTAAAAACAAGGTCTTCTTCTTTTGACTATAGCCTTTGTTTCTCAGGCAAAAAAAATATTATGATCACTTGCATCTTTTTACTTTCTGAACTCATCTCATCTAAATTCTGACCTGTTTTGCCATTAACTGGTATTATCTTATGCTCTAGGAAGTAACTTATTGTTATTGATGCAGGCAGTGATCATGGGATCAAAGCACAAGGGGATGGTTGGTTACTAACTGTTGCTTTGATTGAGGGTAGTAATTTAGCAGCTGTGGATTCAACTGGATATTCTGATCCTTATGTTGTCTTTACATGCAATGGTAAAACAAAAACAAGCTCAATTAAGTTCCAAACACTGGATCCTCAGTGGAGCGGTAATCATTCAAATAACTTGGTGTCTGATTTTGTTATTCACAATTTCACATGACTAGTTCTTCAACATGAACAACTGCAACAAGTCAGCTTCTGTTGTGACATCAAATTAGAAGCCCACATGTAAAATTGAATACATGTCAGACTACCAGTTTACACATATCAATTTGCCACTAAAATTTTCATTAAACAATGAATCGGCTAAATCTGCCTTTAGTATATTTATGCTCTTATACCAGCATTCTTTTTCTGTTCCCTCAAGATTTAGGGAGAGTTGAAATTGAGTTGAATAATATCCATCTGAATCCATATCCTTATACAATCCTGGTGTATTCCTCATATGTCCAATTATGGTTACATAAATTTGTATTCCTCATATGTCCATATTCTTACTTAGATTCCGGTATCCTGGATATGAATGCTGATACAGGTTCAGTTTCCATGTATCCAGAAATTCTTAGTCATTGCTTGATGCTGCCATGTCCTTGGCATTGCAGTCTTGCAATCTGTTTCTGAGTAATAATGACTATCCAATCATATAAGGCAACTTTCAAGGATCAAATTACAATTTGTCAAAGTTTTGGGAAGCTTTACCCTTGATATGCAACGTTTTATCAATCTGTCTGAAGATTTTGGTTTCACTCACAGAACTATTAGATGGTCCATTTAGAGTATGCATAGAATGAAATGATAGAGAACACTGATGACAGGGTGATCAACGTACATCCCTAATAAACTTTGCTTTTGATTTTCAATAGAATGTTTGTTGTACTAATTATCTGTCAGTTCTGCAGAAATCTTTGAATTTGATGCCATGGATGATCCCCCATCTATGATGAATGTGGATGTTTATGATTTTGATGGACCTTTTGATGAAGCTACATCCCTTGGTCATGCTGAAGTGAATTTTCTAAAATCTAATTTATCCGACCTAGCAGATGTTTGGATCCCTCTTCAGGGTAAGTTAGCTCAGGCATGCCAGTCTAAGTTGCATCTGAGGGTTTTCTTAAACAATACACGAGGCAATGATGTTGTCACAGAGTATATATCAAAAATGGAGAAAGAGGTTGGGAAAAAGGTAAATTTTGATTCTGTATTAGATATCGCTTCATTGATTTAAACTTCAAGTTTAGTATGTTTACATGAACTGCTCATTTCAACATGTAGATAATATTGAGGTCTCCACAGACAAATTCTGCTTTCCAGAAGCTGTTTGGTCTGCCAGCTGAAGAATTTCTGATCAATGATTTTACTTGTCACTTGAAGCGCAAACTGCCTATGCAGGTGCTTATATTTATACTTACCTTTGCACTTAAGCTCTTGTTTAACTTCAAGTGTAAACTTCATTTTCTTCTTTTATATGCTTGGGAAATGACACTAGTATTTTGAATGATTACAACATTGTGGAATTTTACTAATTAGTGCAGTCTTAGTCAGAAACAGTCTAGGGTTCACAAATCACTATATTATATTGAAACATTTGGACTTCATTCTTCTTGGACAGACGACAAATAGTGTGACAATATTTGCTATTTTGATATATTTTAGTTTTTGTCTAAAAGTCTTGTTTCATTTTCTTCTCAGGGTCGCCTTTTTCTCTCTCCCAGAATAATAGGTTTCTATGCAAACCTTTTTGGACACAAAACAAAGTTTTTCTTTCTCTGGGAAGATATTGATGATATACAAGTAATTCCTCCATCATTGGCAACGATGGGGGGTCCATCTCTTCTGATTATTCTCCGGAGAGGCAGAGGCATGGATGCAAAGCATGGAGCTAAGGCTCTTGATCCAGATGGCAGACTTAGGTTTCAATTCCAGTCATTTGTGTCATTTAGTGTAGCCAACAGGTAATTTTGGTCTAAGATTATGTTATATAGCATTTTATGGATAAAAACTTGTCTAAGATATTACATAAAGTCATATTAAGAAAATCATTTTCTTACTTTTCTTTAACTTTGTGTTAATCAACCATCAGTTTCTCAATTTAGATCTTTTGCATGCATTCATCTATTGAGATTCAATATGTTTTCCACTTAGTCTTCTGATTTATTGGTTTGGCTACTGCTTGACATTTAAAAGTCACATTTTCTTTTAGTAATGCTTAAGAGTTAAATGAAATTAGGAATCTAGATTGTAGGTTCATGTTCTACATCATCTCATAATTATGAATTGAAATTGCCACTGCAATGCCCAACAGGACAATCATGGCACTGTGGAAAGCAAGAGCCTTGAGCCCTGAACAAAAGGTGCAGATAGCTGAAGAAGAATCAGGAGCAAGAACTTTGCAGGGTGAAGAGATTGGATCTTTCTTAGTCTTAGAGGATGCTAACATGTCAGAAGTCTTCTCCTCTGCTGTTGATGTTGATGTAAGTTGTTTTCCTGTCATCTACACATTTTTATTCTCAAGGTTTGAGAATCTTCAAAATGACCTTTAACATGCTATCAGATCAACACACTGATGGAGTTATTTGATGGAAGTTCATTGGAACGAAGAGTAATGGAAAAGGTTGGTTGTGTTGACTACTCCGTAACACCATGGGAAGCAGTTAAAGGAGATGTGTACCAAAGGCAAATTTATTTTAAATTTGACAAGAATTTATCCCGTTATGGGGGGGAAGTGACTAGCACCCAGCAAAAAGCTCCTTTACCCAATAAAAATGGATGGCTTGTTGAAGAAGTGATGGCCCTCCAAGGTGTGCTGCTTGGGGACTATTTCAATGTATGAATACTTTTCAGAAACTAAAATATTTCAAATCTTGACATATCTGAGAATGTGCTCTTCACTGGTGCTTTCTCTGAACATTTTTGTGATCACCTGGTTCTTCTGTGGCCTGCAGCTTCACTTGAGATACCAAATAGATGATCTGTCCCCCAAGTTGAAGGCATGCGATGTGCACGTATCACTGGGGATTGCATGGCTGAAGAGCACCAAACATCAGAAGAGGATAACGAAGAGCGTTATATCGAATTCGTCACTTCGACTAAAGGAGATGTTCAGTAAACTTGAGGATGAACTCACACAACTAAAATAAACCACAACGGTATGCTAGTACTCATAATGTACATTCCCCAGGCTTGCTTAACATGAAACATAGTATAGCTCTTCAGTTGCACTGATCTGTTGCATGTAAGGAAGGTCGGTCAGAGATGCACATAGCATGCGAGAAATGGTAAAATGCATTGAGATTAGCATCGAGCCTTCCTTACTCGATTGCAGAAAGGCATTGAGGTCATGATTGGTAATCATCTGTAGTTAACTAGCCTCTACATTCACTAACTTGAGAGAACTCGATCATAGAGGAAATGTGGTATGCCATAAATTTAGTCAGTGGTGGAGTCGACACTAAAGAATCAGTTCATTGGCATTGTTTGGACTTTGTACTATAATTTTTAGGTTTTCTTTCAGTTGACAAATAGAGAGGTCTGTAACATGGGATACCTATTACAAGTTGGCATCCATGGCAACTAGATCGGCGAAATTGCAGTGGAATCCAAATCTAAAGTTCTTCCGAAGCTGTTAGTATTCTGTGAAGTATATAGAGAACTACCTTCACTGTTAAAAAACTATATTGTTCAGTTACATATTTGAGAATTCTAATTGTTTGTTATCAACATCACAAGAAATTGATTCTTGGAAGGACTTCTGTACATCTTTCAATATGTTCTCAATAAAACAGCCTGCAATATTTTAGACAGTGATTTGCTCTTTATGAATTATGTGGATGTGATTTATCTCATTTTTTGGACATCTCACCTTGATGCATGCATCTAACACAAGGTCGAACTGATTATGAGTAATATGGACTCCACCATTAGAATCATTTCTAGCTTTCTTATGTTCTTGTTCCTGCAATGCTAAATGATTATAATGAATGAGAAGCAATGTTGTAAATGACTCAAAAGGGTTTGTGTAGATTAAATGCATGCAATTACACACTTTCTCACATGATTGTATATCACTCTCTTCTCGCATGATTGTTCATGTTTCTTATCCGAATACATCAGAAACCACATGCAAACTGGTGGTGATTCTTTTGTAAGTGAGCAATATACTCCTATAAATCCAAGGAGTTGACAGAGTTTCTTTGTCAACTCCCTGCCATTTCTTGAACAAGTGTAAATATCTTACCTCCCCTAGTTGTAAGCTCCAGTAACTTTGATATGAACATTTCAAGTATGAATTGGAGACTTGATCTGATAGCTGACTTCAGGTTGAGTGCAAGATATGCTACTGAATGGATAACAACAGCCATATTGTGGGTGGAATACTGAAAGCTGAGAGTTCTCTTGCATCATGTTGAGTGAGTGTGCAGACTAGAGAAATATTTCTAATCACAATGTCTGTTTGAAGAAATCCTTTGGTGACACAATAATAGTCTTTGATTAGGACTCCTTTTACTTGCTATTTGCTGATTTTATATTTGGTTAGTTGTACTTGAAATTGATTGTAATCCCATCTGCTTCACTGCTCCTCTCATTAGCATCAGTTATTAAAGGGAAAGTTCAGCAACTGATTAGCTACTGTTGTGTTATTTATCTTGTCTAATAATTACTTGGAAACATTCTTTGTTACATGCTTGATAACAACCATCTTTGCTCACCTCACTTCTAACAAGTTGTATTTGCATAGTGGTTTCAGCTAGATTTTACTGCAAATGATATGAACTAATTGTTACCATTATCAAACTCCAGATAGAAATACCAAAGAAATGATCAAATGATTGGAAGAGTTGACCTCTCACTACACACATGTATATAGTTGTATTTATGATCCCTTTAGTAATAGCACAAGTAAAGATAGATCGATAAGGTTCTTCGGCTCAAATATTATATTTGTCACTTACCCTTTATAAAAAAAAAAAAAGGGAAAAAGGATAGATAGATAGGGTTAGAGGTTATTGCCTAGGGGAGCTATTGCTGACCATGGTGGCGGCGATAGATAGCTTCCTATGGAGGTTGTGGTGGAGGCGGTGACAGTGGTGGTGGTTATGGTGGCGGCGGCAGTGGTGCTTCTGGTGGCCTTCGTGGTGGTTGGGTTGCATGTTGTGATGCAGTACTGTGTGGGGTTTGAGTAGAACTCTGATGGCCATGGAAGCTGCCAGTGCTCACACCCCAAACCATGTAACCCTAATCCAAGCTCACTGCTGAGCTACATCATCGTATCCTATGACATTTGACTGTGGACTGCTTGTTCATGATCATTGAGGTTATATACAAATAGGATATGCAACCAATATTGTCTGTGTTTTTGGTGAGAGAAATAGAGAGGAGAGGAAGAAAAGAGAGAAAAGAGAAAGAAAGGAAATCGATAATACACAGATAGGCTTATGTAACTCATTTTTAGTGGGGAGAATTAGAGGAAATAAGCTAAAGGCAGAAAGAAAAAACTAAGGATTTGGGTGTATAAACTAATAAGAAGGAAGAATTAGTTTGAGAGTCATTTAGTAGGATCCAATTCCTCACGGATACAATGAACAGCCTAATGTATAATCCATGCCGTTATGAGGTCGGATGAGAGTTACTATACACGCTCTTAGCTCTCCATTCAGAGAGAGATAGGTTTGATGATTTAAGAGGGTGTAAAGCTGATGAGTGAAGAGGATCCATGTGCCTTTCTTTGAGTAGTTGAAATGAATACTCTTTTTTTTTTATTGTTCTTTGTCTCCATGCTGGGCACAATCCAATTGTCAAACAACTCCAGCATCAATAGTCCCTCATCATGTAGGTATTTGATTTTATAATAAATTAGTATTATGAGTCTGTATCGATATATCGGTATGATATATATCGAGCTAACTAATATCAATATACCATCAATACTGATCCTCTATTGGATCGGTATATACTGCTCGTACTGAACGGTACGTTATACGTGTCAATTATGAAGGACCTGAGGTAAAAAGTCTTACGATCCTTTAATGTCTCATCACAGAATGAGAAAGTTTATAACACCTTTGATCTGTGGATAACTTACAACTTATTTTGCTGAAGAATGCCCCTGGAAGCTTGTTGGAAGGGTTTTCCTCTAAAATTGCAAGCAATTTTCTTCAATCTTTCTCTCTCTTAAATTAGTGTCTCATTTTGATGCCAAGGAAAACTGGACAAGAAGGAAAAATGCTCTTCCAAGTCTGATTACAGATGTGTCATTTGACAGAAGTGTACATCTGGAACTTTGGCAGAGCTTGTAAATTGGAGTTCACTTTGAGAGACTTCCTACTGCTGCCAACCTACTTTAACAAACTTGGAGAAAATTTACATGATTTTAATGACAGTACACATAGATTCACATGTTGCCAGTCCTCCAGAGACTGAAAACACAATCTGGAGTAAATGTAAATGAAGTTGGCTTTTTTTTTAACCACATGTCAAGCTCTATAAAAGATACAATATATGCTTTACATTCATGTTCTCAAAGGAATTAAATCAGAGATACACAGCCACAAACCCAGTTCCTGAGTCACATTCTTTGGCACAACACTTGATACAAACACAAGAACTGTCTCGCTAATTTAGACATTATTTTTTATGGTCCTGCTGAAGATGAAAGCAGAAACTGTTTGCATTCTATAACAGGAAGGGACGAGCAAAAGCAAAATTTTCTTCTCAGGTATGCATAACATCTATTTTTCCTATAGTGTTATTTACAGCTGGGGTCTTAGAGGCACGCCGTTCATTGTCATCTGATGGTACACTGGACCTCCATTTAGCATGGGCAGCCTCGTCTCTGGCATTGGTTCCTCGTTGGGCTCTCCTTTGGGTATCATGAGTCCTTCAACAGGCGGGCCATGCCCTATATACGAGTGAACTGAAGGGGGAACTGACATCTTCGTCGGAGCTAGAGGACCAAAGCCAGCCATGGTGAGGTTCATTAGGCCCGGTTGGCCCATCGCAAAAGTGAAGCTGGTTGGTGGTCTAAGCTGCTCCATTCCAGGGAGGCCAAATGTGCCAAGAGGTGCATGGCCTTCAAACCTCACCAAACCACCTTGGGTCGATTCTGCTCTTGGAAGCAGGCCATGAGGTTGAGGTCCTGCATTTGATGTGGTATTGGAAGGAGAAGAGCTGGGGTGACCACTGTTTCTTGCAGCAGGGACATCGTGGTTGTGTTTGCCCTCATAGGTTGTGATGACTGACTTCAGATCATGTGCTGCCCTCTCCACATGTTTTCTAACATTACAACCTGGATGTGTGCACTTATAATAGCTTCTGCAAACACACAAGAAAAAGAATCATTCAGCGGAAGTTTCAAAATTCTCTTTCAATAAATGGGCAAATATGCAGAAGTGGATCTAGCAAGGATAAAGTTTGAAATTTGTGTAGTTTCCACAATCAGATTTGCACCACCATTCTGCAAAATCATTGTGATACAGTTCAAAATGATACCTTGGATTTGGATTTCCTTTGACCACCTTCTGTCCATATTTGCGCCAACGATACCCATCATCAAGGATATCAACCTCACTGGTCGTCTGAACCACAACCCTTGGTTCACGAACTGCCCTGGAAGCTGCATTCATCTCAATAGCACTGGTGTCTAGCTTCCTGAAATAGAACATATCCAAGTCACCGTATATTAAAAAAGGAAAGTATGTGGTTAAATACAGCTCAATTGAGAAATTTCGCTCAAGTTAGCGACAAAAAGTTCATTTTAAAAAAGAACAAATGCTTACGGTCTTTTCGATTCGGTCTCATCTCCCTCACCATCACAGCCCAGTGATACACTGCCATGGGTGGCCTGGTCATCCTCATCTTCACCACTGGACATTGTGGATGAAACATCTATAGCATCTGAGGATAAACGTTGTCCATCTGGTCTCTGTTGCACAGCAGCTGAGGGGTCACAACATTCAGCAGTGACATGGGCAGATGACGTAGCCTCCAGGTCACCCTGCCAATCGTGTCCTTCATTCCCCATGTTTCTACCCACCCACATGGGCTTGCTATCAGTAGCCATTTGTGATCCAGGTTGATCAGAACCATCAATTTCTGCATCATTAAATGGGTTGGACAACAAAACACCAGATCGGCGATTTGGAGGAGGCTTGGGATGATTGTGTTCACCCTTGTAGATAATCTCTGTGAAGTGACCCTCTTGAGAGCGTTCCACCTTTTTCTTTACCTGACAGTTTAGATGAGTGCATTTGTAATAACTTCTAGGGTACTCACTACCCTTGACCTGTTTCTGTCCATACTTCCTCCAATTGTAACCATCCTCTGCTGGGGCACCAACAGCCACAGATGATAGCTCTCCTCTAAGGTCTCTGTCTCCTTCCTGTTGTTCATCAAGGGGCAGAGAACGGTCGCTACTCATGAAGGAATCAGGTATAGCATCTTTACTCTCCTGAAGGTTGAATTCTTGTTGGTTTAGGACATGCGTAGTGCCAGCTTCTGTAGTTCCCATTTCTTTAGAGTCGCCCAATTGAATTGATACTCTCATACTTGATAATGTTTGTGGCTGACCAAAGTCTGGAGCAACCTATGGTTCATAAATTATCAGTCAAGATCTGTTGGGAACAAAAATCTTTGTAGACTTTGGTTAGCATGGATATCATGCAATTTTTCACAGTAATGTTAGTCCTGCTGATCTACTCAATTTTATAGCCTACGCATGCGCAAGCATCAAAAGCAGTATATAGCGAAGGAAAGACCAGAAGCAAACATAGTTACTAAGGGGCATTGCGAACAACACTTAATCGGAGCTTCAAAAACTTGCTAGCACCGACATTCCATCAATTTAAATGAAGATTTGATCAGATAGTATGTCCAGATATATTAAGATGAATATTTCATATGTTAACCTGCCATACAAATCTCAAGCAAAAGAAATGAGATTGACCAATTTATTAGCATTACAGAACAAAATAAAAGGGAGAGACAAATGCACGAAATTCCTAAGAAGACAAATAACAACATGACAAAAAAAAAGCAACAGGAAGAATCATAATAGATAAAAGGTCTGCAGTTTTTCCCACACAAGGATGAATGAACTTACATCCTAACAAGGATTTAATTTCGAATAATACCGTTGGTACCAGGCGGTACGTACCAATCCGCTAGTAGACCGGTATGCGAACGGGTGGTACTATCGATTGGGGCTGTTTCCACCCCATTACCACCCTAAATCGGTCGGTGACGATCGATTTCAATCATCACAGTCCACTACCGAGTGGTATTAGTCGAGGGAGAAGAAAGAAGAAAAAGAAGAAAAGAAAGAAACTGGAGATCCGACGCCGCCCTCCCTTGCCGGACGCCACAAATGAGATGTCGCCTCCTCGTCTAAGACAACGAGGCCTCAACGTTGTTGGTGACTTCTCCTCATCTGCGCAGGGAGAAGAAGCCTCAGCGATGTTGCCGGGAGAAGAAAACGAGCGTCGTTAAGGCAATGTTTCTTTCCCCCATGCGGGCAGAAGAAATGAGGCGACGATGTCGCCCCGTCGCCTTTTTTTACGCGGTGAGAAGGAAACCTCAATTTCTTCTCCCTAAGCGGGCAGAAAAACGAGGTGACGTCGAGGTTTCTTCTCCTCATTTGCCTATATATATATATATATATATATATACTAC